TCTCTTATACACATCTGATTAATTTAAATATTTAAGTGTGTTGTGTAACATTAAGGTATTTAAAATTAAAGATTTTGAATAATGTTTTCTGTTTTTTCAAAAAGATAAATGTTTAGCATTTGCTGCTCATAAGGCAAGACTTTCTTTATACCTTGTTTAGCAAACCCACCACTCGCCAATAATGATGATTTCGAATATAAATAATATTTATTTTTTCATCAATTAGCGCAGTCATTTTTGAAATTTAGAAATACTCACTATCTACTTTGATATTGTAGCATATGGCCTAGTCACAAATATGAGATGGGGTTACACCATAGGCTTTGCAATATTTGTACATACATAAAATCCGTAAAACTATTCTTTCTTGTTTTTAGTAATTTAATCTGTTGTTTACATTGTTTAGCACCGAAAAACAACATATTTCTGTTGTTCTACAGTGCTTTGCATTAGTAAACAGCAGATTTTTTTTTTTATATTTTTTTTTTTAGTCTTAAGTAGTGCAAGGTTTACCATTTAGAATTAATTAGATTATTACAGATGTGTTTGTGGTGCAATGGTTAGTGATGTTGCATGCAGACCTGAAGGTTGCTGGTTCAAATCTGTGGAGGGTTTTTTTTTTTTTTTGTATATTTTGCAAAAAAACGTAAAAAATGTTAAAAAAATCATAAAAAATTAAAAATTTTCTTTGACACCCCTCTCTGCGACGCCTGCCCTGTCCTTGGCGCCCCTTTTCTGCCCTGTCCGTGACGGACCTCTGCGATGCCTGCCATGTTCGTGGCGCCCTCTGCGACGCCTGCCCTGTCCGTGGCGCCCCTCTGCGACGCCTGCCCTGTCCGTGGCGCCCCTCTGCGACGCCTGCCCTGTCCGTGACGAGTGCCTGTCCGTGACGAGTGCCTGTCCGTAACGCATGCCTGTCCGAGGTTTGAACCTATGTACCATATTCTAGGAAGCAACGCCTTTACCTCCAAGCCAACTGTCTCGTTGAAATTCTATGTTGATTTTTAAGTGTTAAACCACACTAAATGTTTATTTAAAAAAAAAAATTGGTTTTCATGAGATTTGAACCTGATAACAGCATTACAAGTCCCACAGCACTAACCGTTGCGCTACATGTGGATCTGAAAGATTGCGTTGATTTATAAATGTTAAACCACACCACTGTTATTTGGTTTTAAAAATAAATTAAAAAAAATATATATTAGTGAGGCTTGAACCATGGAACTCAGAGTCATAATGTCATAACACTAACCACTGAGCTAACCAAGTGGATCTGAGAGAATGTGTTAATTTGTGAATCTTGAACTGCTTGTCTAAACTAGCTAATGAATATTCATATGACAATGCAAATTTAGAGACATGTTTGTATACCGCCCTCTATATGTCACCCTTCAATTCTTTTTAAATTATTTACTGAATATTCATATTTATTATGCAAATTTTTGACCATTTGCTTGTGTAGCGCCCTCAATTGTATCCTTATTCTTAATTTGTTTAAATTTGTAAGATAATGGATTGAGACCACTTTCGCCTGATATTGCGATTGTCTTATTGCTTATTAGTTTCCTCCCTAAACAGGTGTCATAATTAGCTACTGAATATTCATTTTCGTTTGTAGCGCCCTCAATTTTGTCATCACTTTGTCTGAATTTGAGACCAGCTTTTCATGTTACTGTGATGTAGCGCCCTCAATTTATTGTGATTTTCTTATTGCTGATTAGTTTCCGCCGTAAAGAGGTGTCATAATTAGCTACTGAATATTCATTTTCGTTTGTATCGCCCTCAATTTTTTCACCACTTTGTCTGAATTTGAGACCAGTTTTAGGTTTTGCATGTTATTGTGATGTAGCGCCCTCAATTTATTGTGATTGTCTTATTGCTGATTACTTTCCACCGAAAACAGGTGTCATAATTAAATATAGTACAGAATATTCATATTTACTATGTAGCGCCCTCAATTATATCTTTACAGGTATTTGTTTAAATTTATATAATTCAGATCAGACCGCATGTTATTGTGATTGTCATATTGCTGATTAATTCCACTATAAATTGGTGTCAACTACTGAATATATTAAAATTTACTATGTAGCACCCTGAATTTTATCTTTACAGGTACCTGTACTTGTTTAAATTTATATACTGTAATTCAGATCAGACTGTGCATGTTGTGATTGTTATGTTGCTGATTAATTCCACTTTAAATTGGTTTGGTAATGAACTACTGAATATTCATATTTACTATGTAGCGCCCTCAATTTTATCCTAACTTTAAAAAAAAAAAAATATATAATTATGTTATTGCGGCCAGTCGGCATGCTATTGTGATTGTCTTATTGCTGATTATTTTCCACTATAAATTAGTCTAAGGCCAAAAAAGGTAAGAAAACTTGCCAACACAATAATTTTTTTTTTATTTGGCCTAATTTTTAACTACCAATTATTCACATTTACTATATAGCGCCCTCAATTCAGATGACAGATAAACCATGCCTCCTGTTAATCAGCTAATTGATTCTGTTTAATGACTGACTGATCAATATTTTTTTGATATTGATCTTTGTTAAATATTTTGTTGAGTTTTCTTTTGTGTAAGTGGTATAATTTATCATCTTGTTTGTACTTCTTTGTCATTTAAATTGAATTTATGAGAACATTACAAAATAAATGTTAACTGAATTGAACTTTGTATAATATTGTTTCAAATTAAAACTACACAGACTGAAAAAATAAGTCAGTTTCATTATTTGTAATTGATTTGATTTATTTTTATTTTATTTCATTCAATCATCAATCAATAGAGATAGAAACCTCCACTAACAGGTTGGAGAATACATATTATACAAAGAGACAAAATTTACAGGAAGGAAAAGGAGGAGGATGATGGAGAAAAATAACGATGTGACGACGACGAGAATAACAACAACAACAGCAACAACAACAACAGCAACAACAACAACAGCAACAACAACAGTAATAATAATAATAACAGTAATAATAATAATAATAATAATAATAATAATAATAATAATAATAATAATAATAATAATAATAATAATAATTTGGGGCACAGTGTATTTAACTGTAAATTGAACGAACTCATGTTGTCGATTGCAGTAGTGATGGCTTCAGTGAGGTGGAGGTTGGCCTAACATACACTTCAATAATTGTGTGAGATGATCTTTTAGAGGCTACGCCCCTTCGTGGAAGCACTTTTTGAAATTGGATTCAACGAATCCCCGGCAGTCGGACTTTGTACTCTTTGATATAACATATAAAAATGTTCTTTTATGGTTGAGGGCGCTTCGTAGTGAACATGTGTTCTGCTGTTCCGCTACAAATCACACAGTAGAATAGCGCTTTAGTTGCGGCTATCACTCTATTTTTGACTTTTTTGGACAAGAAAAGTAATTTTCACTACAAGATGTGCTAAAAGTCTGTGAGTAGACCTTAACAAATAAAAAAATTACAGTTGTTTCTGCCAGGCCTAACTAAAGCTGAACCAAACTGGGGGACAGAAGCATTATCTGGCTCAGCAGGCTAGCCAGTCGACATTGGACTTGGTTGGCCTGCTACTAACTAGGCCTAGATTCATAAAGCATTAGAAGGCCAGCTTACTCTGACTGCTGAACTTGAAAAGTTGTAGAGGCCAAGCCTAGGCCTACTGAATAATACATTGCTTATATATTACAGTATTAGGATTAGGTCAAAGCATACTTTTTGTGCAAAATTTGGCGGAAATCGGCCCTATTTTTTCGAAATGCGCGGACGAATTTAAAAAAAAAAATTTGCAAAACGAGCTTTCACCCTGGCCAGGAATCGGCGCCCTAGTCATTCCTCCCCGACTATCTCTATCCATTCCATGCAAGGTTATGCACCAAGCAAGACCATTAACTATAGGGTTCACTAACTCGGTCCCAATTTGAAACAACTGAACTGAGGGAGGAAAGCACCGCGACCCCTAAGCCATAAATGCGGAGAACCTAGCACTACAAAGTACCTGTCAGTCGAATCTTGAGACTACCTAACTCCGAAAATTGCAGAAATAGAGAAAACTGCCCATTAAACAGTAAATGCCTAACCAGTGCCCTAGTATATAGAGCCACTATAACAACACAAGAAAACTCAAAAACATACATAGACGTGTCAGTAGGACCATTCAAGCAAATGTATAACCACCACACAAAATCGGTTAGACATGAAAAATACGAAAAAGATACCAAACTCTCAAAACACATATGGCAGCTAAAAAGAAAAGGTCATGAATATGCAATAAAGTGCACTTTTTATAAATACTGTACTGTACTGTTAATTATAATAATGACCTCCATAACTATATTGTTGTAATGCTATAAAACTATATTTAAATGCATTTTAAACGTTATAGAAGAGGGATTTGAGAGTGAAAAATATCTGCCCAAACCAGGATTCAAACACATTACACAATAGGTTGGGTAGAAACAAATAGTAGCATATAATATAAATCAAGGTAGCCGTTAACACTGTTAAATTATATATATAAATCATCAAAGAAAGGTAAATACAGTGTTCGAATAAAGGACATAATAATACATCATGTAGCATAGCTCGCAACGAATGTAGTCCTATAAATAAATCTCCGCAACCTCCTGCATGCCCCATTACACCGATGGGCCAACTGCCAACTTAAGAGGCCATTTTTGTTTTCACAATACTGTAATGACACCCTATTTCAGTATAATAACTGACTTGTGTATCTATTTTACAGGTATGATTTCATTGCTAGATGTGGCTTCAAAATGGTTGCGAGATTCACCTGATAATGATTACGGTACAGTAATACAATAATCTTTTTTTTTTAGATTGAAATATATACCAGTAATACGTTTAAATATACTGTATGATAGCATTTATTTCAATAATTATTTTGGTTAATTTTTAACATTTTTTAATCTTTTACAGATATGAAGAGAAGAGTTAACTGAAGGATACAAGAAACTAATGTCTTAAACAACATTCAACCACAATGAAAAATATATTTTATATTATATAATGATAAAAAATGAAGTCATTGCTCTGTGACGCCATCTACTGTAAACTGTGAACCCATCTGCTAGATGCCGAAATGCTTTTCAGATTTATTTTAACGTAATCAAAGTATTAGAAAGGGGTCAGTAATGTCAACATATAGACAGTATTTTTAATACAGTAATTCAAATACATACTGTAATTGATTGATGAATTAGATAGGCTTATGATATATGTATTAATAAATTTATGCTGTATGCTGGCAAAGAATGGTAAAGAGACGAGAAGACTGGAGGAATTAGATAGGCCTATGGTATATGTATTAATAAATTTATGCTGTATGCCGGCAAAGAATGGTAAAGAGACGAGAAGACTGGAGGTAAGTGGGTTGGTTATTTACTCAAAGATCTTGTAACAAAATAGCGCTCTCACCTATTTGTAAGCGTAATGCATTAAAGACTCGTAAAACTGCACTTTCTGCAAAAAATAAGACTGTACTGAATTTTATATATGGCGCTCCCTCCAAAAACCTATTAGTACTTGTAATGTACAGAAAATTTTCATGGAACTGGGGAAAAGAAAATTGCAAAGCCAAATTTATTTTACTAAATTTTATGTAGCGCTCCCTCCAAAGTAAAATGCGATGCCAAATTACTGAATTTTATATAGAGCTCATTATAAAAACCTTATTTGCACACGTGCACTAAAAACTTTCATGGACAATCTGGAAAAAATGGCGTAAAGCCCTATTCGTTAACTGCCAACTAAAACTCTGCCCTGTGCGAAGAAAAGTATGAAAGCCAATTTAGTAAACAAAATTAGGATATGGTTCCTCCAATAATCTGTTCAATGCACTGAAAATTTCATAACATAAATTGTTTACTCTGTTTTATATAGCGCTCCTCCAAAACCTATTTGCATGCATAATGACCTGCGCGTTGCAAAAATACTATTGCGAGTTTGTTACAAGATCTTTGAGCTACACTGCGTTAGGTGCCCCCAAATTAAGTGAGGGTGCTGTTGACGTAAAGTGCGCCCTCTATGGAGGTAGAGGACACAGTCCCTCATTTGATTTAGGGGGCGCTATTTAATGCAGTAACCTGAAAATGATGAGGGATGTTATTTAGGGACGGTATATTATATGAACAATGATACAAGGAACAAATAAAGACTAGAGAATTTGAATCAATTTTGTGTAGTATTTATTTGACTAGAAAACTCCCTAAAAAAAAAAAAAATGCACTTCTCCGCAACCCCTGCAGCACCCACCAACAGTTTCACCTGACTCGACTACACAGCAAGTACTACCTCAAGTCATGCCCACTACCACTGCCAAGCAGCAAGAGTGCCCGAAGAAACCTGCAAAGTTCTGAATACAAGCTACAAGTCCAATGTAAATTACAAGATGAGTAAAATACCTGTGAGAACCCTATACCCAAGATGGACGACAACCCACGCAAGATCGCCAACCCTCTTCCCAATCTTTGCCAAGGATAGGAATTATATTTTTAATAATTAAATGATTAGTATTAAAGAATTTTCAAATACGAATAATTTTGAAATGAGATTAAATTTAGCATTATTAATGTTGCTAAATAATTATTTAAATGAATTAACATGTTATTTTATTAAATTAAATTATTTATTTGTTTAGATTGAATTTAGAATTGGCTGCTTAAGATTAATTTTTTAGAATTACTTTAATGCAATTTCAAAATTAAATTAAATAATGAATTTAAGTTTGATTTTTTTTTAAAAGCTTTAAATAACTAGGAAATTTGTTGTTTTGCATATATTTTAATTATTTTAATGCTAGTATTAAATAAAATAAATTTAAAATTATATTTTATTAAAAGATTTAAATAATTTGGAAACAAATTTAGAGTATATTTATGTATTTTATTTATATATCAGAAAGTATGGGACTTAAACTGGCGTCAGGATATAAATTTACAAGTGTTTTTGGTTGCCTAGATTACACTCAGGAAACAACATTAACTGTGCAGTACAGAACTAAATTTGGTTGCAAAGAATTTGATATGGTTGGCACCTCTGGTAATACTAAACCTAAGCATCGTGTTCTGAACAGCAGCTCTTCAGCCATACCCTGCCTGAATCGATCGCTCTTTATATCACTGCTGGCACCAAATATTGCTAATTATAGGAGAAGTCATTTTTATCTATTAATTATTTAGTAAATAAATTAGTGTCAAGTATAATTGTATCTAAAATCATCCTATTAAAATCTATTGATTCTATTAAAATCATTCTATTTTCAAATTACTGTATAATGTTTAAAATCTAGTTACAAAATTTAAAAAAATCATTAATTGCTTTTCTTTAATGTTTGTATTTATCATTATTTTATCTTCAAATCGTAAGACAAACCTTTAAAATGACTTAGTTGGGGTAGGATTTTTTGTTTATTAAGGTCTATATTTATATTGATTAAATGTTGTGCATGTATGATGTACTTTACCAAAGCAGAACTTTTGAAAGGATGTAAATATTTAAATTTTTAATTACCATATTTATTTGAATAAACACCCCCTCCAGAGCCTCATTTGGAATCATAAGCACCTCCCTCAAATTTTTTTAACCTGGTTGGGATTGATAAGTCTTTAAGATCACGCAACAACACGTTTTGACTGTACTTTTGTGTTGTTATTCCACATTTACAGGGAAATTAAGAGGCGTTTATTCAAATAAATATTAGTATATAGTTTTTTAAGAAAGTATTTTTACTATAATATTAGATTTTTTCATTATGTTTTACTTTTTAGTGTACATGTTAATAGTATACTACAGTATTATTTTTATTAACATTTCCATTTCAATAGTTATGTTTTCAATTTATGTTTATGATTCATTAAAATCATGATTATTTTAGTACTTACATATTTTGAATATTTAATATTTTGAAAACTGTTTAAATGAAGAACGTTTAATCCGTAAGTTTACACATTGTTTTATATTACATGGGGTAGATTAGATAAAACTAGTTTTGTTTTCTATTTATCTGTATTCCAAGTGCATTACAAGCAAATGTCATATGCACTATAAAGCAACTTGACCACTAAACTGTTGCAATTACAATTATTATGTAAATGTAATTTAATTTAAACATTTCAATTAAATTTATTTACTTTCAGCATTTAGTTATTTTTCTAATATAACTAATATTCTATATTTAATTGTGGCCATATTTTTAAATATTAATTCTTAAAAGAAATTTGTGTATTTCAGTATTTTTCAAATTATTTTATTCAATAGTGGGAATATATATAAGTGTTAATAAGTATTACCAATTTATTATACAGTATGTCGTTAGTCAATTTATCAATCTAATTATCAATTTATTATAATATGTTCACAAATTATAATAAATTGATAATTTATTATAATAAATTATAATAATATATTATCAATTTATTATAATTTGTGAACATATTACATCATCATGCCCTTATATGGGTAGATTGCATAAAACTGTTTTGTTTTCTATTTTTCTATTTATCTGTATTCCAAGTGCATTATAAGTAATGTCATATTCGCTATAAATATTACTTCTTAAAAGAAATTTGTGTATTTCCGCAGTAGCTTTTAAATTTTTTTATTCAATAGTGGGAATATGTATTAGATATAATTGTTAATAAGTATTATCAAGTTACTATATTTTGTGAATTTAATTTACTTTTAATGATTTGCTTTGGTAGAGCACACCACACAAACACAAAAGACTGTATAATATTGATTATTGATGGGTGATGTTGAATATGTATAACTAATGTAATAGAAAATTTGGTTATTATTTGTATTTTTTTTCCTTTTTATTTATTTGATAAAAAAATAATAATTAAAGACTTCTCCTTAATTATGTTTAAAACTATTTCCAATACATACCCTATCTAAAGAGTAACAACCTAACTTTAATTCCTAAATTTTATTGTCAAATATTCAATTTAGTTGTGTGTGCTTTTTTTTGTGATATGATTTGCATTAATTAAAATATAAAGTTAAATTTATTTTAAATTATATTTTTTAATGATTTTATACATTTATTTTGTGTTCTATTTTAACTTATTTAAGATTACAGACACATTTAAGGTTTGCGCACATAGAAGTTAATTCTAAGTTGATTGGTTTAATTATTATTATTATTAGGTAATTTTCACCGCACGACGTTAACCTTAACGTTGGTACCCAACATGCAGCGCGATAGCTCCGCCCCTTTTGTAAACATGCGCAAACCCGTAACTAACGTGTCCAGCACGTAAAATCATGAAATTAAGGTACTCCGCAACGCAAGATGAATAAATTATGATGTCATCCGTTAAGGTTAACATCATGCGGCGAAAACTGCTTATTATGTTAAATCAAAAATAATTATATAATTTTCAATCAATTAGAAATCCTGAATTAAACTATGTGTGTGCTGTATTTACAGATATATTTTATTATGCAAATAGAAATTGATTAATTTAAAATATAATTCTGTATTTATATTAAAAGCAACAGTCTATTAAATTAATAGTACCTAAAGGGTTGATATTTGAAATATTTTTTACATTTTAATATCTAAAAGTATGTAGTATTTATGTTCTGTAATCATTTAAAAAAATATTATTTCTAAACTTACACAATACATAGGGATTAATTTTGTTAATTTTAAAACATTTTCCTAAAAACCCTAAGTGCGCCAAATAATTTTTGAATAATATTATCATTATTTTTATTATATTCCAATGCCCATTACTAAATAAATATTTATTAATAATAAATTATTTCTATATCTTAAGTTAAATTTATTTCAAGTTATATTTTTTTAATGATTTTATGGTTTTAATAAGTTAAATTAAAGTTAAAATTTTAAAAGTTATTTTATGATTTTCAATCAATTCAAAATACTATATTTAACAATGTGTGTGTTCTGTTTAATTTAGATATATTTTAATATGCAAATACAAATTTATTTTTAATTGATTAATCTAATATATAACTTTGTAATTATCTTTGATTAATATCATTATTATTATATTCCAAGGCATATTACTAGATAAATGTTTGTTAATAATACATTTATTCTTTCTATTAAATTAACTGTATTATGTTCTAAAACTTTTAATAGTTTGAAAAAAAAAAATTAAAATAATTGATACAGATTTAATATTCATATTTTAATTTGTGAACAATTTTAATTTTTTTATTAGGTGACACATTAGGTGATGAAATGTTTATGAGTGTTGTATTTATTGCAGCAAGTCAATATGTAATTCA